ACTGGGAAAGGTGTTTTGGGCCGAGAGAACAGAGTTCAGAGGCTCAGCTAAAAGGACGCCTGGCGCGTTCCGGAGGGGCTACCTGTGATGCAGTGCGGTACGGAAAGTGAGGGAAGGACAGTGTGACATGCAGTTGGGAAGGAAGGTGCCTAGGACATAGAGGACCCCAGCTTGAGGGAATTGAGAAGTGGGAAAGATGTAGCGTCAGTAAGACTGACTATTGCTGGAATGTGAAGAAGAAAGAGAGAGATGGTTTGGATTACTTCCAGATACCTGGTTTGGGAAACAAGGTCATTGTGATGTTATTCACTGAGAGAGTGAACCCAGGTGCTGGAAGACAGGTCTAGGGCAGGAGGGAGAGGGACCTGTTGAATTTAGGGGCCTCTGGACAACCATTTGGGAATGTTCTGAATTTTAGGAGAGAAATCTGGGCTGGAAATAAAGATTTGTGATTCATCAGCTCCTCATTAGTCTCGATGACTCCTCTGGTAATTGAAACCTTTGAAGTGGCTGAAGTTAACTCAAGGAGGGTATAAAGTAAGAAGAGAAGGTTGATGAAAAACCATGGGGAACTCCAGCATTTAAAGGAAGGGTGGGGAATCACAGGAAGCTGAGTAGAGTGGTTGAAGAGGTAGGAGGAAAACCAAGAAGGGGTCACCAAAGAAAAAGGGGGAGGCCAGCACAGGTATCTTTGCATTGTGCTGTGCCATGTGCCGTGACCCCATGTCTGAAATCTTCAGAGACGTGACCTAACCCGCACAGGGTAGGAATGAAGAAGCCAAGCTGCCTACCTGCTCAGCCACCTACCCAGTAGCCTGGTTTGTTTAGGTAAATGTTCGGAGGTGTGAGAAATGTGAGACAGCTTACCTTTAGACACTTAAATAGTGAACATCCACTGAATGCTCTGAGTGCATGGTCTAGAAGAAAGAAGTATTTTTCTTGGCTCACTGGGAGTTTACTTCATCTGTAAACTTGGGGTGATGATACTCCCAGAATAGGCTAGGGTTATGAGAAATTAAATGAATAAATATGAGTATTGAGCCAACCACAAAGCAGGTATTCAATAAGTGATAGTCATTTCTGTGTTTGTGTCTTTCTCTTTTTTCTGTCTTTTTTAATGAAGCACTCATGCCTTGTAAAATTAAACTGTGCTGTTTTGATACTCAAGTTCTTTGCGACAGATTTCCATGAAGAAACAAATGTTGTAATTATTGATTGAATTGTGCTGTTAGAATTAGAATTAGGTTCATAAGAAATAGGAACACTATTTGATAAACTTGCAAACAAAACAAGCCAGATATTGTACTTGCTATCCCCTTGTTGAATCTGGCTCTCTGTTTCAAATTAATTAGATCTTGGGATAACTATGCTAAACTTTGTCACATCCTTATTAAAATTGTTTAAGGATTTTGAAGAACATCTCAGAGGGACTCAAACTAATCCGAGTCTGGTACTGGAGATTCCATTAGCAATCAGAAAACTGATTAATCTTTTACTCAGTTAGCTTATTGATTATTGCAGCAATTACTGCATGTAACGGATTCTTCAAGGAATACCAGCAGAAAATGCATTTATAACTGCTACTGATACATTCAGTTTGAGTTCAGTATTTTGTGCTTTGTATATGTGACTTTTTGTATTTTTAAATGCTGAAACACCTCTACTTGGTTTTGTGCTTAATATTGTTTCAGAATTAGGAGGTTCACTTTTTAATTCCTCAACTACTAGTCATTCATTACAGTTTACCAGGTGCCTTCACTAATTCCATTGCTGCAGTTTAATTTCGAGTGTTTTAATAGAGTAGATATCTTTACTCTCATCTGGAGGAAACTAAGATTCAGTGAGGTTAATTGGCTTCCTGACGTCTACATTGATAGATAACAATCAGGATTGGACCCCATTTCAATCAAATATTTATCAAACACCTACTTATGCAGGGCTTTGTATTAATAGTAATAAATACCAGTATAGGATTATAGAGATAAAGTTCAGGAAGTTAATTTTGGTAACTTCAAATTATGGCTCCTTTAATGTTATGGTGGTCACTTGGCTACTTTTCTGCCCAAGTCATGTAAGTATCTTGGCCTACAAGATTTAGGTTTTGTTTGTTTTTTCCATTTTTTTTTTTTTTTGACTAGTAGAAGTCTTGTCTTTGTCACCATTGTTTATTTTATCACTTTTCAGAACAAAATTGGAGAGAATCTCTTTAAAGGGAGAATATATAAAAGCTTGAGAGAGAATCAAGATCTAACATCTTGCTTTTCAGCTTATTAAGTGCTGTCTAATCTGTTTTCTCCTCTGAATCTCACAGTAATCCTGTGAGTAGATACCATCTTCATTTTACAAATGAGTAAACTGAGGCACAATGAGACTGTGTTCAGTAGTGGGACTTCTAAGTATGAGTCCACTAATTCCTCCAAGTGCCTTGCTTGTCTCACTGGGCATCAGGTCTTGTGGCCGATCAGGACTGCTCGGTGCCAGGAGGTGCCATGTGTGGCCCTGCATTTTATCTTTGTCCCTTAGGAAATGCCACATAAGCAGTAGCCTGAGCTTGTAGGCAAGGTGCCTCATCGGCAGCCACCTAGCCCGCACAAGCCTTGCTCCTCAGTGGTGACTTGCCTAGAGTGGGCCCACATCACGGGTTTAACTACCACCCTTTATAGTTGGTCCTAGATAGTAAATTACTTTGCTATGTGGAACACAAGATTCTCTGTTAATACAAACACAGATCAGATCCAGTATTTCAGCAGGAGAAAATGTTCATTGGATTTGGAAGAATTGTGGAAAACAAAAAACAAATCCTAACTGTTTGCATTAAAGAAACTGGCAAATGGCATATTTAATATCATCATTCTGACCATGTTAATCATAGTACAAAGAGATGTTTATAGATTACTAAGAAATTCTTACAGTGATTACAAAACTGTATATAGTTTGGCAGTTGATTTGGCACAGATCTGAAATGAATGGGAAGCCATTTTTATTTATTTATTTTGTGAGGTAAATAAATAAAGTTGGAAAACAGGTCAATTTCATGCATGCAAGGTTTTATAGTAGGAAAAAAATGCATTGCACCTGTTCTGACCCTTTACATTTGAGGTTATTTGTTTTCAAACTTGACCCCAAGCACTAGTTTCAGGCAAGTCTATAATTAGTTTGTTAGGTAAAGCATAAGGATATTTTATTTGTTTTGATTTCTAGGACTGGGGTAAAGTGGTAACTGAAATTACCAATCTATTGTACATAGCAGTTAATTAAAGAAAAGCATTAACTATAGGAGGACACCATCACTGTTGTTGTCTTGTTTCAGTATAAAAAGGCAGTAATTTTTTTGACAGCCACTGATTGGAAAGTTGCTTGCAGCCTTTCAGAAGCAAGGGGGTACATGCTGCGGATCAATAACCGGCAAATTTCCCATTAAAAAGAATACCTGAGCAATGTTCCAAATAGCCAGTGGCATCTTAATTTTCCACGGAAACCTCAAATACTTGTGTGCTGAGGACAAGTCATTTTCGGACAATTTTTCCAGACTACTTGTTAACAGTTATTGCTGTCCCAAAAGGTTGACAGCCTACATGATTGATATTTCATTTACTTGTCATCACTGTTTGAGTAATGGCGAGTGGTATATTTCTGTGGTTTTAAGAAATATAGTCTCCTGAAAGACATTCGCCTTAGTATGTGCTCCAGAGAGTGTGTCACACATGTTTATGCTGTATGTATGTAAATTTTTACACCCATAGAAAGAAAGGATCAGTTTCCTTTACAGTTTGAAAGCCCTTGGAGGGCAGGGTACACTTATATCAGCCGATAGCTATGAAAAAATCCACCTTCTCTTTGTCTTTAGGGCAAAGAGCCTTAGATTTGTTAACTTGTGATTCCCGAGATGATGTAGAATTTTAGAGCTCCCCTTCATTTCCAAGGAAACAAGCTTGATCTTGTAATAACTTTCATATACATGAAAGTAATAGGAAGATATCTGTCTATATCTTCTAAAAAAAACTTTTTTAGAATGTCAGCAATTAAGGATTATTCGGGAGGAATGTCCTGAAAAATGTGGTAGTTAAATAATACATATTATGTGTTTAATATAGAAACAACAGAGATTAAAGAGAACTTCTACTCTGCGACAGCCCCTCAAAACACAAAATCAGAAGTTTTCATTATTGATATTTTTCCACCAAGAACATCACTTAGTTGTTTGTCAAGTGTTAAAAGATGTGAGGACACAGGAGCTATCTCCCCGTTGGGTGAACATAGGCTAACCAGTTAACATATTTAGGAAAATGGGCATCAGACCACACTACAAGCTAGTGCATGAATTTTTGTTTATGAAAGATTATGAAGCCTTTTTCACTTGGAACTTCATTTTTTTGTGTTCAGACTTTTAAAGTGAAATTTGGTCTATACTAAAATGTTTGTAAGACTGAAACAAAAGCTATGTTTGCTTGAAACTGGACTACCTTTTTATCATATTAAAATCCTGTCATTTTTGGATGGATCAGATCTTGTTTGCTCTCTCCACACTCTCTATGATTTAGATATCTGTGATCTGTGCATTTTATGAAATTTGAATCATGTTTGGCTATGCTGGCATTTAGGTCCAAGCTAATCATGAGGTGTGTCTTCATTTTGCTTTGCAAAGTCCAGGGAAAGAGAACAAGAGGCAATTTGAGAAATTTCCACTAAAATGCTTTTAGTGTCATTTTTAATATATATATTATTTTCAGAGTATTTTTAGAGGTAAACTACTAATCTAAAGCCTTAATCAACAAATTTACTTTTAAAGATAAATGGCAATGTGGGGGATAACACTATACTGAACTTCAATCCAGAATATTCACTGTAGTCATTTTGATGTGCAAATAGGGAGAAATATTCTGGAGGCTAATATGTGTATGCCAGCAATTTACGAAAGTACCATGAATTAAACAACCCATAAGTGTCTGTTCCAGTATTCATACATTACTGAGTAATCTCTTTCTATAATCTCTTTGCAGTATTATTCCACAGTAATGGAACAGCAAGTAAATGGACAGTTAATAGAGCCTCTGCAGATATTTCCAAGAGGTAATGTTGAACAAATTCTAATCAACAATGATTATTTCGGTAAACTGTTTCATCAACAGTTATGTTTTCCAAAGGTTTAAATGCATATAACACGATGTTTAGCTCTTAATTTGAAAGAACAAAGGAAGTATTCATTATTGTGGGTATTGCAGGCTATATTATAGTTATGGCAGATAAAATATCTAATTTACTAGAGTAAATTAAACTAACTAGATTGTTTTTTGTTTTTGAAGTACATACTTACATTCGCTTAAAGAACTCTTTGGGGGTCCACATGGTTTCTAAACCAAGGCAAATGAATGACTTTAATTTTGGGTGTTTATAAATTATGGCTCATGTTGGTAGCCGAAGCTGCTGTTGAGGAGAAAGCTTTTTAGCTAGTACAGAAGCTAAGATTTCCTGAGGGGTTTTAGGAGAGAAATTTTGGCAGAATGTTTGGTATTTGTATTTTGGGGGTGGCATTTCTAAATAATGGAAAGTCCTTATGAATGGGAATTTAATTATTAAGTCTCCAAAAACATGAGCTGATAAGGGTGAGTCTTGGTGAATCACCTAGTCAAATAATTTTGCTTTTCCCCTTTAGGTTTGTCAGTACTGTCCTCGTATCAGATATGATTATTCAACTACATCTAAACGTTCCCTCAAATTGGAATAATGTTCAAATATAACAGTTTAATTGTATCAACCATTAAGCCTTTCACCCATCATACAGTGCCTCACTCGGAATCCATGTTTTCTAACTGATGGGACAGATAAGGACATTTTCTAAGTAACTCTTCTAGAAATAACTGAAATAATTTAAACTTATCTTCACTAACTGATACTGTACAAATAATCAGGGTATAGGTCTTCCATTTAAACATTCTAGATTCCATTACCTGTTAACTCTCTGAAGTTTGAATGGCTCTGTTAACCAGTAGACTTTTATCTGCACTGATGAAGTATCCCAAGGCGGCTGACTCAGCCCGACGCAAGAAGGTCTAGGCTCAAGAGTATGTTCTTCTGGCATTAATGTGGGCAGCGGGGTTGGGAGTACTTAGTGCATTATCGACAATGACTTTTTAAAGAGCTAAATAAGTAAAAATTGGTCCATTGATAGAGTGTCTGAAATGGATTGTGATTAATCCACTTCAGGTGGATTAAAAACTAAGACAGAAAAAATAAAAAGAAAATGTTGCATTTCTGTATATTAGGCCAGTAACAAGGATGAAGATTTTTTCCCAATTTTTCAATGACTAGAGAATTTGGGCAAGTTTCAAAATGGTTTTTCTACAAGGAGTATTTTTTTACCAGCTGAAGATTTTCATTAATTGCTTCCCTACCTGCTGATGTCACTCCTCTGTTATTGTAGCAAACTCTAGCGCACAGTATCCTGGAAAATTATAATTCCAAAGCTGTGGGCCTTTTTTTGTTTTTCAATGAAATATTTAGTTATTTTCATCCAAAATCTGTTTGTTTTTGTTTTGTGAGCAGTCTTTTTCAGTCGTATTGTTGATACCATTGTGTCCCTCCCATGATAATAACAACCATTTTTAGACATCTGCTGTATCAGACACTAATATTGCTTTAAGTGTTAATCATTTCTAATTCTCCCAACAGTTCTGCCTATTAGGAATTACTGCTTCTATTGTATGGGTGAGATTATTCAGGTTCAGAGAGGTTAAGTAACTTCAGAGTCACACAGCTTATAATTGGCTAATACACCCTTTGAATTTTGTTTAAATTATAATCTCCTTAAAGTGAAAGGGCATAAGTTAAAATATTAGTGGGATGTGCAGGGGGCTAATTTGGAGGGGTTGGTAGGAGAGTGAAGAAAAGTATACTATAAGGGGAAGAAAGTTAAAAGAAGAAAATAAATGAGATAGTCACATGTAATCCTAGCACAGAACTTTTTAGACTCCAGTAAACTACTAAATTTAGTTCTTCTTAACCAAATTTAAATTTTTTAAAATAGGAGTTTCAGTCTATCTCTATGATTATTTTGCGAGCTATTTTACAGCTTTTTTTAGTGTTTGTTGTCTTTTGCTTTTTGCTTAGTTATCTACATCTCACATAGGTAAGAAATCAGGCGAACCTTCACAGTTAGGATACAGACCTATTAGTCTATTAACTGGGTCTATCTATGTGGTTAGAGGCCTTCAGACCTTAAGATTTCGTGGTCAGGCCCCATGTTGAAAAGAATCTCTAGACTGATCAAGGGAGAAAGACAGGAGAAACAATTCTGCTCCAACATCAGATAGTCTCTTCATTTGCAAGTAAGACAGTTGCCCGGACGGTGATTCCCAGGTCACAGCTAAGTCCTTTCTGTAGATAAAAATATATTAAGTATTTATAAGTATGAAAATATACCAGCTTTATAGTAACTTCTGACTCTGTAGCTTTAGGAAATAAGAGATTACTGGGTTTTCTGAATATTATTTAGATTTCCAGTCATAAAGGTATGAGAAGCCAATTAAGGCAAGAGGCAGACATTAAAGAGGTAAGAGTTGGTGCCTGCCTTGAATTCCTTTGCTAGCTGCTTTCTTATTAAATGAAGTTTATGGATGCACTGGGTGCTTCAGTGCAAGTACTCTGAAGTGTTCTGTAAGAAAGTATTAATGGTCCCTTAAGGACTAGGCATCAAATGTATGTGACTGTTGTTTTGTTCAAGAGGTTAATTTCCATTTCAAGGAAAGAAGATTTGGGTTTTAATGCATTTTAGAAAAACAAATAAAAATCCTTCATTAAGGTTTAGATATATTTTTTTTTCTTAGGAAAATAACAAAATAAATTAGAATATACTTGAAATACATAAAATTAAAGCAACTGATTCACTTTGTAATTACTACCTACATCTTATTATTAAAGAGCTCTGCTTCTTGTGAGAAATGGGGAAAATATACGCACCTCTGAGAGAGGAGCAAAAGAAATCAAATTCATCCTTAGTTTTGTTCAAGAGGTTAATTTCCATTTCAAGGAAAGAAGATTTGGGTTTTAATGCATTTTAGAAAAACAAATAAAAATCCTTCATTAAGGTTTAGATATATTTTTTTTTCTTAGGAAAATAACAAAATAAATTAGAATATACTTGAAATATATAAAATTAAAGCAACTGATTCACTTTGTAATTACTACCTACATCTTATTATTAAAGAGCTCTGCTTCTTGTGAGAAATGGGGAAAATATACGCACCTCTGAGAGAGGAGCAAAAGAAATCAAATTCATCCTTCCCCAAACAAATCAATCAAAATTGATGGCCCCTTAACATATAATATGTAAGGCACTGCAGTTTTCAGATGGAAGCAGCCTGTAACATGGGCAGGAAGCTTTTGTATTCTTAACATTTGGTGAAGAAGCGTTTGCTGAATTGGATAAGATTAGCCTGTAACTGAGGATGGTGTCAGGAAATTAGTATTTTTGTTTCCTGGCACTTCTTTATCTTTAGATTTAGTAGATATCAGGATTTGCAAGAAATGGAGTAAAAGTGGTGGTATCTTTGTATTTTAATAAATTTGACTGCTTATTGCAGTGCAAATTAGTATTCAAACTTGAATATTCCATCTTAGAACCGCTAACCATCTTTTTGGCATTAAAAGATCCTCCTTTCATGCCCCCCACCCCCAAAACCCCAGCTATTTTCAAAGTAGTTTAAATGATAGTAGATGTACAATGTAACAGAGTGAGGAAAGATTGCAGAAATTTGAATTATGAAGGGAATCTAATCATTTTAGCTCAGTTAACATGATTTTTTATATGTTTTAAACAGAGATTGGAATTTATATGAGGTGGTGTCAGAAAGCCCTTTGCATTTATAAATGCTCACTCCTGCAAGTTAAAAACCCTGGTTCATAATTCCCACTTTGGGTCTTGGGAGCCACTTTTCAATCATTTCTCTCTGCTAATTTTGGTGTCACCCTCATTTCTTTTTAAACGATTCATTTTGAGCAAATTTGTAAATGGCCCTGATGTGTTCTACAATTTAGTCAATTACTGTTTCAGCCTGCAAGCCTCCTGGGGAACGGAACATACATGGCCTGAAGGTACGAATTTCAATAATTGTTTCAGTAAAGTTAGATGGATTTGTAATGCTGTGTTCCACTTATTGAAATGTCAAATAAAACTGCACTTTCTCAAGCTCTGACAAGCTATCCTTTTTTATTTTTTAAATGGGATGTGGAGGGGGATTCATCTATAGTATTTGCTCGATATGCGTATATGTTTGGAAACAAGGGGTTTTGTGCCATATTTCTTATTATTTGACATTCTTTTGTTGGTCTTTTTCTTCGGATGACCCTGAATACTGGTCTCTACAAAGATTTATTTGAGTGAAAATAGAGACTTCATTTCAGTGATTAATTAAGCACATAAGCATATTGCACACAGACAACCCCCCTCTTCTTTTGACATATTTATGCTAGAAACATATATCTATTTAATGTCTTTTCATTGTTCTGTGTCTTTTGAATTCTGGATTTCCGCTCTAGGCTTTACATTTGAAAGAAAAGCTGGCTATTATATTCGACTCAAGCATTTTATAATTAATTACTTGGGCCTCATTTTTCAGTGAATGAGAAACATCTAGAGTGTTCGGCTTTTGGTTTTAGAACTGGAAGGATATGGCCACTCAAGGTTCACTACTCACCCCTGGATGTATTCTTCATGTACTTTCTGGAACATATTGTTTCTGTCCATGAAAGAAAACAAAATAGTGAATTGAATTTTTTTCTGAAATTAAATTCACTTCTAGGCAGTGAACTGACATTTTCTCCTGCTTATCCCTACTTTTTTTTTTTTTTTTAAATATTTAAATAATGACAGGCACAGCATATTATGTAATATACGGGTTGTACAGTTGTATAACCTATATACCGAATAGACTCCAACCGTGGATCTGTCTAGCAACAAGCTAATTAACCTTCATAGTGAAATGAGAAATCTGTGGCAAATTTTAGGTTAATTAGAACTGTGTCCTCAGAACACAAGACTGATCAAGATTCTTTCTTTACTTGTAGGTGAACACCCGGGCTGGACCCTCTCAACACGGCAGCCCAGCAGTCTCTGATTCACTTCCAAGCACTAGGTGAGAGCAGTGAGTAAAGTTGCCCATAGCATGATTATCTACAAAGCTGGGGTGGAGGAGAGGCTTGTGGGATGACTCCTCTTTTCTAAAAGACTTAGAAAATATGTATATGTGGCTAAGAAGAAATTTGACCAGATAGGTAACCCTAGTTACTATTGACTGAAGAGAAAGAACCTCATAGAGAAAGACGAAATTAGATGTGTTAAACTACTAATTTTGCTCCGTGGAATGGTTTTCTTTCAGTCTCCAAATTATACAGAAAATTCAGTGGCTTTTTCTATTTCATGCCATGATGATCTGGCTTGTAAATTATATAATGCTTACTGTTTTTTCTTGGTTGTCCGTCTTTTGACAGTGTCGTTATTCACTGACATCTTCCCCAGGAAAAGGCAAGGAGGAGTAAAGTGGTAAAATTTAAGTTGACTGGCCACGTTGCTCATTTTTTATCTTTGGTGGTACAGGAGATTGAAGCTGTGATAAAAGGAATATAACTTCCATTAATTCATGCTAACATTGCCTCACGCTAGGATGAGGACACTGAAAACTTGAGCCTTTTCAAAGTATTCTTCTGACAGGCCTGACACGTCTAATTTCGTCTTTCTCTATGAGGTTCTTTCTCTTCAGTCAATAGTAACTAGGGTTACCTATCTGGTCAAATTTCTTCTTAGCCACATACACATATTTCTTAAGTCTTTTAGAAAAGAGGTGTCATCCTTATTTCCAGACTGTCATGGTCCTCGAGTAGAAGGAACAACCTGCTTAAGCTGATAGAATTCTAGGTCACTTTGGGTATACATTCAGTTATTCAGCCAGTAAACATCATGCTACTATACTTAAGATGTCACTATGAAGGTGACTGCTTAGTGTGTATGTATTCACCGTGGTGGCTGAAAAGCCAGCATTGAGCCAGAAAACCCTTCCATTCTGCATGCAGGTTTTTCTGGGTTTAGGGCTGTAACCAGTATTTGCACAGTCCTTTATCATCTGAGATCCAGTTGAGGCTTCTGTGTTCCTTTCCATACCCCTCCTTCCCTCCTTAACCCAGAGTCTTAGTTCTTCTGCCAAGGAGCTTTACTGTAGGTAATTTGAAGTCTGTCTCTCTGACTCTCTTTACTCTGCTGTCCTCTCCCCAGAAATCACTTCCTTCAATGTTATTATGTCTACCCACCAGCTTTCCGGCTATGAACACACTACCTTTAAAGTGTGCTTCGTTCTTAAACGATTTATTCTGTTTTAAAATAAGTTAGTCTGGTTATTCACCAGTGGATTATCTCTCTTGTGGTCACAAGGGTAGTTCTTTTAGTTCTCATTCAAGGGGTTGGCCCTGCCAGGTGGTACATTGCAGCTTCTCTCTTCGTGCTTGCTGGGCATGTGAGCCGTGACCCAACAGACTGGAGGCTCAGGAACCTAGAGTCACTTGTTATACTCAGCTCAAAGGAGGCGGGGGATTTAATTTTTACCACTACTTCCAGAAGAGATGTTATTCAGACAGACTCACCATGAGCCTTGAGGAAAAACAAGGACTTTGCCTGGTGTTTTAGATCATATATCATCATGGCATAAAAAGCAGAATAGCGTTGAAAAAGATGGTAAGGCAGAGACGAGGGAGGATAACTCTTGTCAGTATTCTCAGATTTGGTTTTAACACCATGAGTAAATTAGCCTGGCCTTTAAAAAATTATCATGTATATTCATAGAATATTATAAAATCTTCGAAATTCAGGGACTGTGTGATCTAGTGGTTCTCAGCCCTTTGTCGCAGCATCCTCCCTCAGGGACATGACAGCCTTCCAAATAGTAATGGCAGTTTGCTCTGGTAGTGATTTCTGTTTTGGAAGGAATACAATTTGATAGGTGATTTTAATATGCCAGCCTAGGTTGGCCATGTTCTGTGCCCCATACTGATGACTAATCAAAAGTATTTGTTGAGTGCCTCCTGTTTATTCGGTGCTGTCCTATGCACTAAGAATACAGTCATCCTTATCCCCTGGAGCTTGCTATCTAATGGTCACAAAGGCAGAAAACAAATAAGCAAATATATAAACAGTTATGGGAAATAAGTGTTATAGGAAAACAAGCAGGTTTTGATGAAAGAGAACACTAGTGAGGAAAATGTTTAGATTTAGATACGTGCTCAGGGAAGATGCAGGAGAGAGTGAGATTCCGTCTAGCCTGAAGGACAAGAAGGGCCTAGCCCTACCAACAGCCGAGGAAGGGCATTTCAGAGGGAGGAGAGAGCGTAAAGGCCCTGGGGTAGAAAAGGAGCTCAGCGTGATCCTAAGCAGGCCAGTTCAGCTGGAGCACAAGGAGGGGTGCTGGGTTGGGGGCGGGTATGGAGAGAGGGGAGGGGAGCAAAGAGTGATCAGAGAGAAGGAGGTAGCCGGGGGCCACGCGGTGCAGGGCCTCGTGTTTGGATTTTCCTTTTGGTGGATCAGCAAGCCATTAGCTTTCGGCAGGAGCCTGCCATGGCCGCTCTGAATTTATAAGAGACTTGATGCCTGTGATGTGGAGAAAAAGTGGGAGAAATACCAACCTGATCTTGTTCTATTTTGATGTTTGATTCCCCGCCCTTTACAAATGGTCATCCAGGGTCTTCCTGAACATTCCTTGTGGCAGGAATGAACTCTGCTGGCCAAGGCAGCCCCCTCCATTTTCATGGAGCTGTATCTTAAGTTGTTGTTTATTGGGTTGAGACTTGTCTCCTTTTAACACACACTCATAAAGATTTAGTTGAGTGCTCAGAACAGGGCTGTTCCCTCTTCTAGGTGTTAGCTCTTCCAGTTGTCTTCCCTCTAAACATACCTCTTCTAGATGTCCTGTCTCAGTAAAATCTCCCCTATCCACCCAGTTGCTCATTCCAGGTGACTTCCCAGTCACCCTTCACTGCCTCCCACACCTCCCTCAGCCCCATGTCCAGTCAGTCCCTCATTAATTGGTGCTGCCTTCCAAAGCTGTCTGGGGTCCGTCTCCGTGCCAGCAATGCCAGCCCCCCTGTGGCTACAAAGATAGTCCAGGCACCCTAGGTCACAACTACAGCCTCCTAATAGGTTCCTCCCTCCAGTCTTGCCCTATTGCAGTCCCTCCATATTGAAGCCAGAGTGATCTTACTAATGCCAGTTCTGAGCCCATCACTGCCCCCTTTTCAACCCATCACTGCTCCTTAGAACTTTCAGGACAAAGTCTAACCTGCGCAGCAAATGAGCACCGGCCTTTCACGTGTGCATCCTCTGTGCACCCCGGCCTGCCGGCCTGCCAGTCCTCCTTTTCCTACCTGACATTCCATCTTTGCTGATGAACTCAGTATCTTTGGGAGAAAAAGGAAAAACCCTTAATGTCTCCTCTCAGTACTGAGCTTTCACATCTGCTGCTGCCTCTTTCCTGCTCTCCTCCTCTTTTAATCCCCTCCAGTCTGACTAACTTTGTTCATCTTTGAGGAACAAAGCTGCTGTCTTCTGAAAACTGTCCCTGATTATTACCCACCTTCCAGTCTACAACAGGTACCCTTCTATGAATTTTCATAATGCCCTGTGCTTGCTTTACTGCTACTGTATGTAGTCACTTCTGTCCCCCAGTAGATTCTGTACTCTTTGAGGGCAGTGACTGTGGTATATTCATTATTGAATTCCCAGTTCCCAGCATGATGCTTGGCACATAGGAGATAGTCAGTAATGCTTGAATAAATGAGTGGCTGAAAGGATTTATATTCCCTTTAAGTCTCGTGTCTGGATAAAATTCTCCCAACTCGTTCAGCTTTTCTGATAGGAAATTCTTTCTAGTCTCCTCACTCTTTTACTCATCTTTGGATGTCTTATTGTCCCTCTTAACATGTTATAACCAGGTAACAGTTGTGTCACATTGAAATTTTAAACTGTTGTTATTTTAAGAGTGATTTTCAGATAACTCAAGTCACTGTGACCACACAATTTAACAAAGTACTGAGTAGACTTAACCACAAAGAAATTGCAGGGATTTTTTTTTAAAACTAGACCAAATTGGTAGCCAGATATTGGCATAATGAATGAAATCAGCTTTTTCCTCGTGTATTGTCAAAGCATGAATTGATCTTTGCCTTAGGTAGATGACTGTTTATTAAACTGAGTTTACTAAGCCACATTGTGTTCGTAGGCCGTAATTACTGAACTCAAGTCCCACTGCCCAAGACAAGGTCTTTCCCAAGCATCTTGGCTTTCTCTTTCTATAAAATCAGGATGATTCAACTTTCCATCTATCTACCTCTGGTGGTAGGAAGATTGATGAAACTGTATTAAGGAATCACGTTCCATTTCTTGGATGAAAGGTGTTTGTAAATGCAATGAATCAAAATGTTATTATTTCAAGTTGTATGACATAATGGAAGATCTGTGGAGAAATGTTACCTGGGCATTTTTTGGTTATTTCTGTTTTTATAATAATTGCAACTATTAAGTTGGGAATCATCTATAAGAACACAAGGATTTAAATGTTTCCCAGGGAAAAAAAGTATGTGCGTGTGTAAGGGAGACATACTTTGAGCAAAAAGACTGACTTTGAGCAAGTCCTGAACCTTACTTTCTTTTATAAATTTAGGATAAATTTAGGAAAATTACCCTGGGATATACCCAGAGTACAGTTATAAGGATTAAATCAGGATAAATAATAGCATTTAGCATGGTGCCTGGTGCATGATCATCGCTCATAAATGGTAGCTGCTATTTTTAACTGGGTTGATTTCAGAGTTTGTTTTTTGGTGTATGCTTCAGCTTTTGTCCCATCCTACAAAATTCTTAAGTGTATGAATTCTTAGACCTGGGAGGACGTTGTTAAGGTTTAGAACCCTTGGTCGAGGGCACATTTTTTTAAAATTTGGGGGAAGTAGGGATTCCCTAGTCTGCATTTGAGAATAGCTCATGTTTTAGAAGTATTTAAAAAGAAAAATAATTATAACTTGAAATGGTGAGTGTGGGCAAACTTGAAGGCTGGGATCTTTCTCAAATACAACTTTATTGAAGGTACCAGATAAATGTGTTTGTATGTGTATGTGACCACTGCGTAATAAATAACTGCCAGAACAATGACCACCATTTATTGAACACACAGCATATGCCAAGTCGCTGGGCTAGGTTCAAGGATGGGAAGGAAATAGGTTATCTGGGGGTGAGAAAGGTGTGGTCTGTGTTCTCAGGGAGCCCGGGTGTGGTGGGAAGGAAGACACCTATCTACACGGATAACGAGCACAAGGGAAGAGCATTAATTTGGTAGATGGGTAGAGGATTAGAGTAGATAAAGAATAGAGAAAGCAAGCATTAAATTTCTGATTAGAACATTGATGGGAGGAGGTGCTATTTTATATGCCACTCTACTAACTGGATGGATGTGTCAGGTATAACTCATTATAAAGCTGAAAGGACTTCAGAGTGTCCCTTGGCTACTTTCCCTAAACTCACCCACATAAGTGTTTATGTAGCCATATGAAAAGAATATTATCATATTCCTTAAATAACTCTGCCAGCTTGGTCTTATGCCCATAGGACAGGAAGGGAAAGAAAAAGCAGGTGAAATTTATTTGACACCTACTGTGTGCAAGACATAGTATTAGAGCTTTTTGTAATATTTAATGTTTTTGATTACCCTATAAAGTTGGTATTTCCCCCATTTTATAGAACAGGGACACTGAGATTCAGAGACGGTGTGTAATTTGTCCCAGACCACACAGCTAGTGATTATCAGGACTTATTTCTACTACATACTTGCATCCCAGGAAGCTGAATTGTAACTCTTCACTGTAGTAGAAGATCACCACTTAAACTATTTTATCTTTTGAAGTTCTGTAATCTTTGTTTGTTGTGAACACTGTAAGTGTGCATTGTTAAGTACTTTGTATTGAGCAGATGACAGAGTCCACATAAAATAGCCACCAAAAGGCCACCCAAAGGCAACAGAACTAATAACCAAAAGAAAAAAAGGTCATTGAAGAAGTCTGTGAAACAGTCTAGCTTTATTTTGACTGCAGGGCTCTTTATTGCTTTAGATTACTGATGGGGTTTCAGTCTTTTTATTGATAAAATTGCCATTTAGCCAGTTAATTTTGAGAAGATTTTATACAGGGAGAAGGATATAAAGAGTATAATCCATGTCTGCACCTAAAACAAAGGTGTATTTTAGTCCGGAACTTTTCAGTGGTGTTCAAAGGTATCAGTGATCTTGCCATAAAAAATATGTCTTCCCTTTTCAGCTTAAAGAAGTCTTCTGCTGAACTGAAAAAAATATTAGCCAATGGCCAGGTAGGTATCATTGCATATTAAGATTTTCACGTAATAGTAACGTTAATGTCCAGTTTTTCTAACCATGAACTTAATAAACATAAATAGTCTGTGAATTTCTTCTTGTCATAAATGAATTACATGGCTTAATTTGATTGGCAGAACAATTTGCAGCACATTTTTCAAACTGTGCTAATGGGTTTTGCTCCCAGCAGATTGAAGTACTGTGCACACACCCTGCTGCCATCTCAGTTTAAAAAAAGTTAATCAGTTCTGAACAAGTGTGTCAACCCATGGGTTGTTGAAATGGCCGTGCATCCTGAGGTGACTGTTTCTTTCATTATCTTTGGGGAGGAAAGGAAAAACTGTTGCTTTCTTACCTTAGCTCCTTCTTTGTCCTGAAATGAACGCTGGCTTTTTAGGGTAACCAGAGTAGCAGCAGACCTCTGACTTTTAAAATATCTGGGCTTAAAGAGCCCGTGGTTTGCCTGGTTGACTGGCCATCGAAACCTGAATGACCTAACCCAGCCAGTGAGGGACAAACAGGCCTGCAGGCCAGTTATTTCTCACTAATTTTGATTCAAGTAAGTGGAGACATCTGAAATAGTATAGTGCTTTTAAACATACACTGGTAAATTAAGCTCCCTACAGGGTCCTCAATTCTTCAATAGCAACATAAATGTGTTTTAATGTTTGTTATAGAGGAAGCCCTTTGATCGCCTTGGAGGCAGGCGCCTGTCCATTGCGATCAAGCCTGCCTATTAGGCTCTATTGACTGAGACATCTGTGTCACTGCAAATAAAAGACTCTTATTGATTTTCTTAACTGCTGTTCACTTCCCGTCCATGTTTCGAAGGCTGAGATCTTAATTATCTCAGATGCTCATTCAGTGCCTTCACACGTGACCTCTCCAAGCCTCATTGGCATTTCATGAATCAAGCACTTGTAGTGGAGCATGTCAAGAAGACAAAGCCGGGTCCTCATGCTTGTCCTTTAGTATCACCTGTAACTTTGTGGCCTGATAGATGTGCATGCCCGAAAACTGGAACTTTATGGATAGTGCTTCTGGAAGCCTTATTTAGCACACAATCCCTTGAATACAGTAAAAAAAAAAAAAAAGTAAATTGATCTGGTTCTGACATTTGATTGTCATCAGGGTGTGTAGCTTCTAGTCCTTAAATATTCTGTATTCAGCTGAGGAGAATCTGGTGGTATATGTATAATCTTGATGGTCTCAAAATTTTAGGTAATTTTATCTAAGACTCTCAACTTTAAGCAGCCAAAGGTTTGTTTAGATTGAGGTCCACATATATGTCCCTCTAGTGCCTGAAATGTGTTCAGAATCAGTATGAAATAAAACCTGACTGAAAGCAGAAATATTGAGGCTAGGATATTTATGTATCTTCAACATGCTTGTATTCTAGTTTCTAGTTGTAATTTACATATGAGTCACTTGTGCTCTTCAGCTAGAAGATATATTTCAAAATTGACGTCAGTTAAGAAGCTTTAACTACATTTATTCAACCCAGCCAATGGAAAATAACATCATAGATTCCTCTTTCAAAGATGAAAAACAGTTTATTTCCACTGAGAAAGATAAACATTTTGAAATGTTCCTAATGTTTTAACAACAAACCCAGTACATAAATATCTTAGTGGTCTCAGTTATGAGTTCTCTGTGGTGGAAGACTGTCATGGCAATGATTTTTGACTCTTAAGGATTGTTTATTGCTCTCCTTCAGGAATGTGATAGTGCCACATGAAACAGTATTTTCTTTCTTTTAAGGTTTGACCCTTATAATATTTACTTTCATTCACAAAAACAAAACAGAACAAAGCAAAAACCCCTCACCTTTGGAAGTCCTTAAAATACTTCCTTCTTCTATTAATTCATGACTTCCTTGGTGGTATGGGGTAACTAAAGAGTGAGCGAGGTTGCATTGCAGTGAGGTAATGTGCTCAGTCATGGGGTCAATAAATTTCTGGGCTGAACACTGACACCACTTGATGTGGAAGATGTAAGTCACATTTAACGATACTTTAACACTTGAGCATAGTTTTTTATTTTAGTGGTTTATGCTCTCAAGCATTAATAATGATTTGCCTTTCCACTAGCCTCCACTTAGATTTAATAAGGAATTCATATTAATCATTAAAAGAAAGGGACATGATTCTTCAAGATAATCAAATATTGACAGGTTAGAAATAGCTTTCTGCCTGGGTTCATTGATATAGGTTATGTGATATAAATATTTATTTCTTTTCTGTCACTCAGAGTAAATGCCACCAATTGATTCAACATTGATATAGTGTCAACAGTTCATAAGAAACATTTGACTGGCTTGTGTTTTCCGATTAGTCTCTGCTCTATAAAGTGGGATTTACTAAATCTCTCCAATTGTCTGCTCATAGAGTGTGACTGCTTTCTGAAACCATTATTGCTTCAATTTGTAAAGCAAAGGTCTAGTGATAGGACTAGTTTCTGTCAGACCTTTACATACAAAATAAGGATTAATTGAGCATTTTTATTTTAATGATTTATAAGCGATAGATACTGATTCTCTTAACTTAGGCAGACAATAAGCAATATTTTCTTTGCTGATCCGTAATTGAATTCCATTTCATTTTCCCCATTACTTTCATTAATATATTTAATCAAGCACTTTTTAAAAAGTTTAACATTTAGTGTTTGAAATGGAGACATTGTTTTTCTGTTATTGCTTTATGATAGAAGATTCCTTTTCTTCCAGCTCAACAGAAAACAAATCACAAGGTATTTCTGGCAGGTTTTATTGAGAGCTATAAATCAGAGATAAAACAACTGCTGTGTTTTCTGGAGGTGTTTTTCCCACTTCAGGTTTGGTGTGGTATCATCTGTTTAACACTGGCCCTTGATTTGAAACTGATTAGAAGTGGCCCAGTGGTCAATTTAAAGGGTTAAAAAACTAGTTATTCCAAGGATGTACGACTTTGACCTTTGCTTCTTTAAAGTTGTTTTTCCTTTTTTTGTGTGTTTTGGATTTTGTAGAAGAGGGTGACAGTATTTTCCTATTTTTGATAAATTAAGTATAGATGTACTGAGAAAATACAGATCTAGAACTAATTCTGATCTGCTGCTGCATGTTTTATTATTTTGAGATCTTCAGATGCCTTTAGAAAACTTGCTGTTTGGGGAACAGAAAAAGGAGAAAGAAAAATAGGTATTCTACTATAAAATCAACTTTAAAAACCCTATTGTCCCTAGTTTGTAAAACCCTTAGATTCTTATGGCTCATCTTAGATCCAATTGTTACACCCTGCTTACCCTGAAATCTCAGTGCTACTAATGAAGAATTTGGACTTGAGTGAGTGAAATTCTTCTCTCCTAGAAATTTACTTCAAGGCACTTCAAATGCAGCTTGTTGGGCAAGTTAATAGTACAAATTACTTGTGAGAGTCATGTTTTGACTACCTTGAGAAATGTTTTAAAGGAATCACCCTATTTGTATCCACCAGTAGATCTGCTATTTACATACTTTCCCTTATGCCCATTGATCAAAGTAAACCCAATACCAGCTGTTGATTCAGCACCTCAAGTTACTTTGTGTGCAGCTTTTATTCCTGCTGTTTTAGTATTTGTCATTTGGTTCACAGTAATGAAGTTTCCTTAATGCCACGTCTTTTTATGTATGTTCAAAAATTTTTTTCTGCTTTAGTCATGTGAAAGTAGTGAAGAATAGAGTTTCCATCAAATAGGAAAATAGCTGCCAGTTTTTCTGACTTGTCTGTCATTTTACCTCTGACCCTAAATATAGTAATTAGCTAATTGCAAATTGCATCAATCAGGTAGTACTACAATTAAACTGGGTACTGAATTGGCCTTTACACATTAATCTGTCAGTATTCTTTTAGGGTTTGGCAAAACAACTTGGAAAGGAAGCTGTTTTTTCTGTTACCTATACTGTTTTCCTAATTATCACAGTTCTCTGAAGCTTCAACCTCAGAAATGTATAGAAGAAAAATATTTCCCTTGATAAATGGAGCTTTGCTTTCTTCAACTGGTGGAAGTTTAGAGTACAGCAAAATATTTAAAGCCTTACTATAATGGTCTGAAAGCAAACTATTTTTTTTTTCAAGGTGATATTGAATTAAAAACTCCATCCATTTTCTGCCCATGCAAGGCAGTGCAATTCCCTAGAAATTGATTTTTTTTTTCAAGGCTTACTATGCCTTTACTGAAGCTTTAGTTATATGGAAAATAACGCCTTTATTGAATCCACTTAGTGAGTAAAGAGTTGGCAGTTAATTTTTAAGCAACTGGACCAGTGGGTAGAAAACTACAGAATGCAACAAAAATTATCTGACCAGTCTTAAATTCATTTGAGAAATAATTATTTAGGGGGTTCTTTAAAACTACAAAACATTGTTTTGTGGACATTAGAATAATTCACTACTATTCACAATACAAAAGAGAATAGTATTTGTGGTATAATAGTTTATAGAATCTTGGGAAATGTGCATGCTGTTTTATATATTAAATTTTGAAAATGACTTTCGTTTATAAGAATCACATGCTTGTATGTTTTTCCTTTCTGTATTATAATATTTGACTATATGTGCATTTTAAAATATACTATTCGGTACTTTTCCAACAGCATAACGTGGTTTCTACCCAGTTACTGCTGTGTGCTAATTTACCATTTCCAAAGAAATGCTGTATCTCCTCTTGGAGAATTATTCATGTTATTCAGTTAGTTTGTTTAATGTTAATCATAGGGTCACCTGAGGAGTTACCGGGTGTGGGGGGGCTGATTTATTTACAAATTATATATTAGATCACTAAGTGTGTGTGTGAGTGTGTGTGTGCCTGTGTGTGTGTGTTGTCTTCCCAAGTTTATCACAGCCCCTCTCTGTCTTCCAGCGGGAGCGGAGCCCAGTGCCAGCCATTTCTCCCTGGTCGCTTGCCCTCCTGCCATTGACACACAGTTTTAACTCTTGTGGCTTTTTCTTCCTCCTCCTCCCTCACATCTTTTTTCTGCCTTTTAAATGTTTTTGTTTTTTTAGTCAAAACAAGGAAACCGAGCTGTATTTTAAAATTATCTGGTATCTTCATTGAGTGATAACCTTATCTCACCTCTTTTCTATCTGAAGAGCTGTGTGCTTTCTAAAACATTTCTGTTCTTAAAAACAAATGCCATAGCTGATGAAATCGGTTTTACCTGATGAGTGCCCTTCAGTTGCTTGTTTCCTTTTCTGAGGGCCAGTGACCAGTAACGGAGAGGATGTCACTGCTGAGACCCAGCACCGAGCAGACAGTGCTGAAAGACTGAGCTAGCCTTGATGGTGCTTATTGACTAGTTATGTGACCTAGTGGATTGGACTACATGCTTAACATGCTGTAAAATTCTGTGATTTCTATAATGCTTGATCCCAATTGTAATACTTAAATGTCAGGCCCCGTAGGCTTATAAATCCCACTTTTGTGTCATAATGAGCACTGCTCTATGCTTCCTTTGGAAAAGTTGAATTCATGTTTACCTAAAGCAAGAAGACGGAAGTGTTATTAGCTGGTTGTTGATACCCTTAATGTTTTTTTCATATTTAAGATCAATTAAAGTAACCCATTTTAATCAGAGAAAGGATATTCTCAACATGTTGTTTGTCATCAATTCCTGAGCTTGGCTCTAATAGTTTTCCTTTTTAACACTTTTTTTTACATGAATAATGCTTGTATACTATATACAAGTTTGAAAACCCAAATAAACAAAAAGCAAAAGGATCTGATGTTTTTAATATAAAAATCTATCAGTCGGTTAGTTCATAGGCTGGGCAAAGATCTATAAAACTTAAATATTGTAGAAATACTTTAACCATTTTTTTTAAAATGGATGCTGTCTTTTTAAGTGACATGGTTCAAGAGCTTGTTCTTCAGAGTCACTTTTATCTTTATGAGAATCTTATTACAGTCTCCCTCATTATCTGGGGGATTCCAAATTTCCATCCTTGTATTTGCTGACAATACAAATGCTGGAAGGCCCTGTAAAGTGGTGGAGGGGATACAGTCACAGATTGTTACACCCTGCTTACCCTGAAATCTCAGTGCTACTAATGAAGAATTTGGACTTGAGTGAGTGAAATTCTTCTCTCCTAGAAATTTACTTCAAGGCACTTCAAATGCAGCTTGTTGGGCAAGTTAATAGTACAAATTACTTGTGAGAGTCATGTTTTGACTACCTTGAGAAATGTTTTAAAGGAATCACCCTATTTGTATCCACCAGTAGATCTGCTATTTACATACTTTCCCTTATGCCCATTGATCAAAGTAAACCCAATACCAGCTGTTGATTCAGCACCTCAAGTTACTTTGTGTGCTGCTTTTATTCCTGCTGTTTTAGTATTTGTCATTTGGTTCACGGTAATGAAGTTTCCTTGATGCCACGTCTTTTTATGTATGTTAAAAAAATTTTTTCTGCTTTAGTCATGTGAAAGTAGTGAAGAATAGAGTTTCCATCAAATAGGAAAATAGCTGCCAGTTTTTCTGACTTGTCTGTCATTTTACCTCTGACCCTAAATATAGTAATTAGCTAATTGCAAATTGCATCAATCAGGTAGTACTACAATTAAACTGGGTACTGAATTGGCCTTTACACATTAATCTGTCAGTATTCTTTTAGGGTTTGGCAAAACAACTTGGAAAGGAAGCTGTTTTTTCTGTTACCTATACTGTTTTCCTAATTATCACAGTTCTCTGAAGCTTCAACCTCAGAAATGTATAGAAGAAAAATATTTCCCTTGATAAATGGAGCTTTGCTTTCTTCAACTGGTGGAAGTTTAGAGTACAGCAAAATATTTAAAGCCTTACTATAATGGTCTGAAAGCAAACTATTTTTTTTTTCAAGGTGATATTGAATTAAAAACTCCATCCATTTTCTGCCCATGCAAGGCAGTGCAATTCCCTAGAAATTGATTTTTTTTTTCAAGGCTTACTATGCCTTTACTGAAGCTTTAGTTATATGGAAAATAACGCCTTTATTGAATCCACTTAGTGAGTAAAGAGTTGGCAGTTAATTTTTAAGCAACTGGACCAGTGGGTAGAAAACTACAGAATGCAACAAAAATTATCTGACCAGTCTTAAATTCATTTGAGAAATAATTATTTAGGGGGTTCTTTAAAACTACAAAACATTGTTTTGTGGACATTAGAATAATTCACTACTATTCACAATACAAAAGAGAATAGTATTTGTGGTATAATAGTTTATAGAATCTTGGGAAATGTGCATGCTGTTTTATATATTAAATTTTGAAAATGACTTTCGTTTATAAGAATCACATGCTTGTATGTTTTTCCTTTCTGTATTATAATATTTGACTATATGTGCATTTTAAAATATACTATTCGGTACTTTTCCAACAGCATAACGTGGTTTCTACCCAGTTACTGCTGTGTGCTAATTTACCATTTCCAAAGAAATGCTGTATCTCCTCTTGGAGAATTATTCATGTTATTCAGTTAGTTTGTTTAATGTTAATCATAGGGTCACCTGAGGAGTTACCGGGTGTGGGGGGGCTGATTTATTTACAAATTATATATTAGATCACTAAGTGTGTGTGTGAGTGTGTGTGTGCCTGTGTGTGTGTGTTGTCTTCCCAAGTTTAACTTTGGCTGTGTGCAGTGCTATCTGGCATTGGTTGTGTGTAGTACTGTGTTCTTACCGGTATCTCTGACCTGACCCTTCTGTGCTATGTTATATCATTCCATTTTGACACCTTTTATCAAACTTTAATGAAATGACCCAGGCAAACAAATTGTCATTAAACTTTCCATCACTTTGTCCCTTGGTATCGTCTTTTATAAATTGGACAGCAAATGTTGTATTGATCTTCTCGTTCTTGCAGCTGAACTTGAAATGACCCAGGCTGCTCGTTGTTTATGGCCCAGAGTTGCTTTTCCTTGACATTTCCATCCACAGCATGACACCCTTTTTGTTTTTCTTTCTTTCTTGTGGAGATGAATGAACAAGACATACGGTATCGAGACACACTTGGTCATGGCAATGGAGGCACAGTCTACAAGTGAGTAGTCAATTTTGTTTAAACTTTTTATCCACTTTTGCCAAATGTGGGTATCCAAGTTCTCTGTGGCAAACATTTTTAAATGACTACCAGTGCTTAGATTTTATTTCCATTTCCACATTTGACTCCAAAATTCTGCAAGGCATCTATTTTCTCAGGTATTGCTTGGAAAAGTGCATTTATATTGCCTTTTTAATATTTCTGAGTCTGCATCTCTCCTGGGTGAGCAGTTAATAGTCTACCATTAGCTAGTGTACCTTTAACTGGCCTGAAGTTTAATGCATTTTTTTTCCCTCACCCTTTAACACCATTTTTTTTTAACTTGCTAGCCCCCTATGATAGTCTCCTGCCTGTTTACAGCTATGCCCAGTGGAAGACAAACCTTATAAATACCATTGCTTTGCCCTGTGTCAACTCTATAAGTTATTAAAAAGCCTTCTTCCTGTTGTATTTCCTTCTCTCCTCACCCTACTCCCCCTGAGAGAATTTCTACACATTGATGAATATGTTAAGTTATAAAATTCTCCCAAATTCCAGTTGCACTGATCTTACCCTAAAGGAGTGTTCATTTTCATATTAAAAAATGCTAACCATAAAAAATAGTTCTCTAGACAGGGAAGTCTTTCTCATGTAGTAGTGTTAAGTTTAAACTACATAATGTGATATGTGGTACTTAATAGTCTGCAATGGTGTATGAAAAATATTCTACTAGGAATTAAAAAATCCATACTCTGTAAGAAAGCCCTGAGGGAGTAATAAAGCTTTCCTCCAGAGAGCTGTTTTCCATATATACACTAACCCTGCGTCACATTGTGATTGTGTTTTTACCTTAGCTATTTTAAAATATATTTTTTTATTTTATTTTATTTTATTTTTTATATTTTTAAAATAGTAAAATAATTTACTTTTTAATTGGTTCTTAATGTTCTTAGAGCTTTAAATTCTTACTGACCCCCATGAATATAGATAAAAATTGCCCTATTGTCCTATGACTGTGAAGAGTCACGTCCTGAAATCCCCAGACAACCCTACACGTAGATGCAGCCTGGCGTAGAATTAGATTTCTCGGGGTTAGAAGCTCCTAAAGAGTCCTCTGATGCAGTCACCCACCCAGGGCTTCAGTCTTCTCTGTAGGGAGAGCTAGGATGTGAGTCCTCTCTCCTAACTATAGTCCTTTAGGACCTATGTCCACATGTTTGGATTATTTTTTCCTACAGATGATTGACTACTATGAATAGTTGGTCTGAAAGTTCAGCACTTCCACTGTAGTTTAGAGAATTAAATAACAACATATTTCTTACAGTATCCCTGGGCCTTGCCCTCAAAATGTCTGAAGCCTAATATGTCTAGTGAGTTTGCGGCTACCATTGCCCCTCCCTGCGTCACACTAGTGTTTCTTCCCATGCAGCCCCCAGGACTACATAAATAGCATCTCTTCATCTTAATTTTTTCCTCCTTACTCTTATCTGACTTGATTTTTACCCTGTTCTGCAGGTTCTTGGGTTCAGGTACCCATAGAAAGGAAAGAAGGAACACCAATTTGCTTCTCTTGAGTTCCCTCTAGGGAGCAGTTTTTAAAGCCTCAACCTTTCTTTTTTAATGCTTTTATGCTAATAGCCAGATATAATAAACACCAGAAAGATTTCCAGAAACCCATGGAATTCCCTTTATTGGCTTCAAATGGAATCCAAAAGCATTCCTTAGCCTACTTCTTATTTGTGCTATGTCACCAAATGTTTAATGTTCAAGCATGTTTGTACTTTTAAATCAAAGTCCTATTGTGATTTACTGTCCTGCTTTATTCTAGAAGGGAGGAAACATAAGACCACCAAATCCCAACATAAAATTTTTATTAGAAATAATAGCCCAGATGTTAAAATTTCAGTATTTATTTTAAAACATAGGATTATTTGAAAAGGTGAGAGTAAGTCAGGAAAGTAGAAATAACATGCCCATCCACCAAGGAAAAATTACCACATGAAATCATGTTACTGTTGCTTTCTTTATTATTATTTTTAATTGTGGTAAAATACACATAAAATTTGCCATCCTAACTATTTTTAAGCCTACAATTCAATGACATTAAGTATATTCACAGTGCTGGGCAACACCATCCATCTCCAGAACTCTTCTCATCTTGAAAAACTGAAGCCTTGTACCCATTAAACAATAACTCCCTGTTTGCTTGGGTGGTGTTAACTAAGAAACGGGGCTAGACATTCTCCTCTTTTTAGGGCCATGGTATCCAAGGGAACATCCTCCCACACATCCTTAGCCCAGTTCTTTCATTTGCGGGAATGCTGCAGAAACGTTAGCAATTTACCCTAAGAGTTCATTTAGCTACCATTGCTAATGCTCAGTATGCATGTTGTAAGATTTAATGTTTTCAACAGTGGTTGTTTATGGAGGGTGAGTAGCAGTATCAGGACCATTTTAGTACTTCATTTTATGTAGTAGATTTCTTATAAAAAGCAGACATTTCATTTATCTTATTACTTAGGTGATTCTTAAGAGGAGAGTCTGTGAAGATACCAAATTACATAACCACTTGTCATTGATCATTGGCCTTCATTTCTGCTTGGGCTTCAGTTGGTGGTGTTCTTATATCCCTGGCTTTTATTTCAATGCAAAGAGATGGTATCATCATCAAGAAATGAGAATCCACTTTACTAAAGTCTCGATAAAACTGTTTGACGTGTTATGATGGACTTTTTCCTATACTAAGTTTACCTTAATGGTGTTGACTATAAAAACTGTGATTTTTTCAGACAAAATGATTACATTACAGGCTATGCTACATAAACTAGATGAAGAAAATATTGGAAAATCTACTCATTGGTAACAAAACTGCCTAATGGGCCTATTTAATTTTTTTCTTATAAACTATAATAAAGTTAATAAATGCCAAGCAGAAGTTTAATATTTCAGTCTTATTTGCTCCACTTGATAGGATATTGTGAATTTCTAGGGATATGATATTGTGTGTAGCTGCAATCTATATTGTTTAATAGTTTATCACATTTTCATTCTTTAAGTCTAGATGTTCTCCCCGTTACACGATATGAAATTCTGGGCCCAGACATTCGAACCAAATAGTAGTTTGCATTACGTGTATAGTCCTTTGCTGAGCTATTCTCTGTATTATGATAGTGACCTAGGCAAGTAATTTTAAGTTGGATTTACTTGGATTACTAATTTGGGTAATATGAATCACAGAGTAAACATCTTAGACTAAAATATAGCCCAAGTCTAGGCAATAATTTAGGAAAAGGAATTGAATGCACTTCATTATTTATCCATTTCCCAAAGTGCTACAAGTTGCTAAAAAAAAAATATCAGCAAGGACACATATTCTATTCCCCTCTGAGAGATTAACAATGAATTTCAAAACCTGAGAAAGTAAAGGACAGTGTATTGTTGTGGTTAAGTGTGGGGGCTCTGAGTTTGAATCCTGGATCTTCTAGTAACTAGCTGTGAGACTTGGTGAAAGTTATAGTATGGCTTCTGCTTCAGTTTCCCCAGGTGTAAAATGGGGATAATAATAGTATGTATGTCATGAGATTGCTGTGAAGTTAAATAGGATGTTCTATAGAAAAGGCTTAGCAATTGACTGACACTGAATGTCAGCTACTGGTAGAAGTGATACTAAAAGCAGAAAAATCATTAAGCCCTCTGTTTCCTGTGCTTCCTTAGCCATGGGACTCTTCTTTTGAGGAACTTTCTGCAAACATCTCACAGAATTAGAATTGTGTTCAATTAACTTTAAAATTCTGTACCAGACTATGATCCATTATACTTCTATTTCCTGACAGATATGGTTTATTATATCTTATATATAATGGATTTTTTTTAAGTTTCGAAGTGTTTTCTCTATTATTGTAATTTATTGTCAGACTGCTCTAGATCAGCTGATAAAATGTTAAGTCCATTTTCTGAGGGGAAAAAGCTAGGGCTCACAGTCATGTGGCCATTCAGTGGCAAATCCAGAACTCTGCACAGCGTCTCTCTCCTTCACTACGTTTCCCCCCCCACAGTGTTGCTTCTCAAGGTCAGGCAGAGTCCGTTGTGCCTCCTTGTATTTTCCAGTGTACCCCGCGCAGTCCTAAGGACAGAATAGATGCTTTGTGACTGTTGGCTGAAAGGAGAGTGAGGCAAGTGGGGGTTTTTTCCAAGCAGGTTTTAGTAGGGCTTTTTAATTGGATCCTCCCCGTTTCTAGCTAGTTTTGGAGCCTGCATCATTTAGAGGCTGCATAATTGTTTTAGGACTTTCACCTAGAAAAATAGGAATTTCAAAACTAAGGGCATATATTTGAGTGATTAATTTTTTCTTTCAAATGCTTAAACTTTGAGTACTTAGCATCCATTAACCCAACATACTAGTTACTGTCCCCTTCTTGGACAGTATGTCACATTGGAAAGTAAGTAATTAACAAACCCGTTACTTTGGAAACATTCTGTGGTAGTCAAGGCCAGTCACTCAGATTCTGCAAAGATGCCTTCACTCTGAGCATTGTTCAATGGAGTCACTTAAGTTTTGTGTCCAGAAGTAAAGTAATATTCAACAATTAGGACTTAACGGTGTGCTAAGAAGTCAGTTATCCAACAGGCACTTAAGGATCATCTTTTAATTATTTTTTTCCTAGTGCAAATAATTCAGGCTAAGACAGATTCTCAGCTTTTTGGCCATGTATTCTAGTCTCTAGGTATTTGAAAATTAATGAATTTTCTATCTCTGCCTGCTTCCTACAGTACATGAAGAGTCTAATCTGTATTTGGGGTACAGTTTTCTCAGTGATAAGATGGTTAGAATATATGTTGCCTATACAGTGTTTTGAAGATTGGATATACACCATTATTTAAGAATTAATTTGACTATATCTAGAGACAGCAAGAAGAGGTAAGAGGTAAGGGATAATAATTTTCAGAGGTGTCAGTGTCTCCTTCTTTCTGTTGTATCTATTTTATGAGATATTTGTTGGGCTGTAGGGTGAGGATGGGTC